GCCGTGCGCGCTTCGGTTAGGGGCGTCGGCCACGGTTCTTCTCCAACCTTCTCTTACCTCATTCTCATTCTTGCTCCTCGCTCCTCTCAGCCTCAATCAAATTCTTCGCAATGCCCGAGCTCTCTAACAGAGGCTCGGGCATTGCCCAATCTCGCCTATCTCGCTATCCCTTGTCGAAATTTTCCCCCATGGCCGCTCGAGCAATTAATGGTGCGTCACTTTTGCGAGCTCATCACCCACCCTTCGGGAATCAGACGTTGCTCCGTCCTTTCCCACCAGATCCTTCGGCTCCTAGACATCCGCCTGCATCTCCCGCTCCTCCCGCTCCTCCGGCGCCACCGGCGCCACCAGCGCCCCCTGCACCTCCTGCTCCTCCTGCGCCCCCGGCTCCCCCTGCTCCGCCACCTCTCTCGTCGCCGGTGGTCACACGTCCTCCGGAGTGGGATAACGATTGGCAGGATGACGACGACCTGTTGTGGGAGGAGGATGAGGCTGACGACCGCGAGCCTGAACCTCCTCGCCCACTTCCTCGCGTTATCGTCCCTCGTTTCCCGCAAGCGCAACGCCGTCGTAATATGCCTCTTCGTAACCGTGATGCTGCACCTCCCTCCCCCAGGGCTCGCAGGACGAATCGCAAGCGACTCGCACGGACGGCAACCGAGAAGCTGTACTGGTTGGCGAAGTTGGAGGCGGAGCCGGAGATGTCGAACCGCTCCCTTGCTCGGATGGCTGGAGTGCAGCCGTGCCAGATTCGCGACTGGAGGAAGAACAAGGCACGACTCACTGCCTCGGCTGGCTGTAGGCGTCGCCTCATCGGCTCCGGTAGGAAGGCGAAGTGCCCCACCATGGAGCGCGAGCTGTACAAGAAGTTCTTGGGCCAGCGCGCGCGAGGGCTGGCGGTCTCGATCGGCACGCTGTAGAAATGGAGTCGGAAGTACATGCGTAAGCACCACCCCGGCATCGACTGGCGCGCCTCGTCACGGTGGACCTTCCGGTTCCGCGCGCGCTGGGGACTGACGAAGCGCGTGAAGACGAAGATGGGACAGCGCATGACTGCAGGTACGCACTTTGACGTGCCGCGAATACTCCCTGCCCTCGTCTAGCTCTTGTCGTGCTTCCTTGTTTGGTGACCGCACTTATGCATTCTATGTTTTTGTTTTTTATTATTTTCATTGGCAGACTGTGACGCGAAAGTCGAGAAGTTCTGGGAGTTTGTTCGGCAGCTCCGCACGCTCAACGACTACCCCGACGATCTGATCATCAACGCGGATCAGACGCCACTATTCTTGGAGATGCCGCAGGAGACCACACTCGAAGTCCGGGGCTCGAGAACTGTCCATGTGCGCACGGCCGGCTACGAGAAGGAGAGGCTGACCGTCATGCTGGCCGTGACAGCAAGTGGCAAGAAATTGAAGCCGTACGTCATCTTCAAGCGGAAGACACTACCTCGGATCCGCGTCCCGCCCGGTAAGGATTTCGTGTCTTTTTTTGTGCCGCCACCGCTAATGTTTTTCGTAGCTGTCTTTCCAGGGCAAACTCATATGTCTCGTACTTTGCGCTTGTGCAGGAATTGTGATCAAGGCCCAGGAGAAAGGGTGGATGGACGAGACCCATGTCAAGGACTGGGTCACCACCGTCCTGGTGCCGTTTCTCCGCTCGATACCCTCGCGGCGCGGTGGCCGTCAGAAGGCTCTGGTGGTCCTCGATTCGTACAAGGGACACCTGACAGAGGGAGTGTCCCAGTTGATGCGACTCTTCAAGCTGTCAAGGGCTGTCATCCCCGGCGGTTGTACGCCTATCGTGCAGCCTCTAGACGTGGCGGTAAACCGGTGCGTCAAGGCGCATGTCCGGAGGTCCTACAGTGAGTGGTTCGAAGAATTCGGCTGCGAGTCCACAACCCCTGCAGGTGAGTAACCGTCTTTATTATTTGTCATTAAAACCTCTACCCGCGTTGTGATTTTTTAAACCATGCCTTGCATTTCTCCACCACTACTCCTAAACCCCCCTCCTACTGTCTCGTCGTTTTGCTTTCCCCTGCAGGGAATCTTCGCAAGCCGCCGGCCGAGCTCGTGCTGCAGTGGATTGCCGACGCCTGGGCCGCGGTGCCAGCTGAACTCATCCGCCGCGCGTTCAAGACGTGCGGCATTTCCAACGCGACCGACGGCACAGAGGACGAGGTGATCCTCGCCCACATGCGGGACGACGCCGAGGTCGAAGTCATGGAAGATGTCCATGCCGAAATGGAAGAGAGTGGGGCGCTGAACCCATACTACGAGTCGGAATATGTGGAGCCGAGCGCCACGCCGAGCTCGGAGGAAGACGATCCCGATGTCGAGGCGGAGATTGAACCTGCAGCAAGTGCCTCATCATCCGGTGCATCTCGAGCTGCAACACCCGCGCCAGCATCAGAGGCGTCTGGGAATCCAGGAGCCCGCACAGCAGCAGCAGCAGCAACAACCTATACAGAAGCAGCGACAGAGGTGGGGATATCAGCTGCCGAAGGCGACGAAGGTCTAGACATGCCTGCGGCGGAGGTTCTGGCGGGCTTGGCTGCATCCCGCTGGACTGATGACTTTGACTGGGATGACATCGCCAGTGACGATGAAGATGCCGAGGTGTGGCATGCAGGAGAGGACTGGCACAGTGAGGACGAAGACAGAGACTAACTATTGACTTACCCTGCTAGGACATGTAGCTAGCTGTTGGACTATCAGTGTGTGCTGAGTGAATGGTAGTAATAGCTAGCTTAGGTAATAAAAAATGCACTAGAAATGCCTCGCACAACGGATAGGCTTTAGACTAGTGTTAAAACTGTTGTCTAATGATAAAACCTTGATGCTAGACCAAGCAAATCCACAAATCCCCGATGGAGGGTGTTATGTAAAATTCGTACTCAAAAAGGTGGGTGCTCTCAAAAATGCACCATATCATAAGCTATCCCCCGCATATGCTACCCATGGGTTGACTATTTCGGCGGGTCTTATATACGGGGGAATACAGTAAGTTCTTAATGGTAGAGACAATCCTCGAACGAAACCCAACCCCCCCCACTCCCCGCCCTTCCTTCCCCACTCCCCCCGCTATTCTATTTTTTCGGTGGTTATCAATGCTAGAGACAATCCTCCACGAACCCCCCTCAACCCTAAAATCTTGGCGAGCAAGACATTTTAGCGTAGTCTTCCGCATGCACAGTATTCAAACCCTCTGAAGTCTCTGCATACGATTGACTCATCTACGATCAAACGGCCCAAATTCCTGTCACTTGAACAGATTTTGGCCATCAAATTCGTAATGCCCAAAATTCCCTCGAGCTCTCCAACATTCAAACTCAAACGGGCCGTCAGAACATCTCAATGCCAAATGTTTCACGTTTGCCCACATGCATTCGACTTTCGTCTAAAAATTCAGACGTGGCATTTTTCAACTGAGGGTGTCTCAAATCAAAGTCGACACAAGTCACACTAATTCGTGTCAAGACTGCGTTGATGGGCAAATTTGACAAGCAAAGTCATGAATGTCACGAACAACAGGCCCTGAACAATCGGACTGCCGGAAAAATTCCCGGCCTGATTTGCTGCGTGCGCAGATTTTCGCCAAATCTTACAAGCTTGACCAATAGTGGCTAAGCTAGCGCAAAACATGAAGTGCCGACTGTTAAAATTATATAAGTTATAATTTAATATAGGCTTGGTAGGTTGTTACTGAACCTTTCTGTAGGGGGTACAAACCCCTCCTTGTACTCCCCTCTCTTCCTAATCGCATCCCTTCTTTCTCGTCACTTTTGCCTACCCCTAGATAAACTTCTCCTCACGATATTCCATGGCGTCACTTCTAGTATCCTAGCCTACCTAGCCTCCTAAGTTTAAGAGGCTCGTGTCCTAAGTTTCTAAGATGGTATCAGAGCCGGTCGTGTCCACTGGACCCTCTCCCTACGTACCCGTTGCGTACTCCTGCTGCATTCGCAGCCTTCGCGGTTTTCTGCCTGCCTGCCGTCGCGACGCCAGGATGTCGCGTCGGCCCCTTGTTACCTGCCGTCGCGGCACCAAGGTGTCGCGACGGCCCCTGGTTGCCCGCCGTCGCGGCACCAAGGTGTCGCGACGGCCCCTCGTTGCCTGCCGTCGCGGCGCCAAGGTGTCGCGACGGCCCCTTGGTGCAGCCGTCGCCCGTCCGCCTCACCGCTGCGACATTGACGGTGCGCTGCGGCGGCGTCTACGGCAGCCGACGGCATCGTCGGGCTGCGGCCGGCCGAGCGACATCTGTGGCGTCGCCGGGCCTGCCGCCCGCTCGCCAGCCACGGGCGTCCCTCAGGACGACGTCCTCCCGCCAGTAAGCGCCGCGCCATTTATGGCGCGTCGCTGAAGACTCGCCCCGCCCCCCCCCCCCCCCATTCTCCCTTCCCCCTGCGTCTTCCCCTCCTCCTGTCGCAGCTGCTGTCTTCTGCCCGGACGTTGCCACATCACCGAGAGCCCTCAGCCGCGGCGGTCGCCGCCTGTTGTCGGCGACCCAGCCGCCTTGAGCCAGAGCTCCGCCGCTGCTTGTCGCTGACCCGCCCAGACGCCGTAGGCTGCCTCGTGTACGGGGGTGTGTCAACGCTTTGCACGAGGGTCAGATACCCGGCTAAGCACGAGCTTGAGGGTGTGCGGGGTTAGGGGGTGGGTTGGGTGGGTGTGCGACTACCAAGCCTAGGGGGTGTGTTAAAATTATATAAGTTATAATTTTAACATAGGCTTGGTAGGTTGTTACTGAACCTTTCTGTAGGGGGTACAAACCCCTCCTTGTACTCCCCTCTCTTCCTAATCGCATCCCTTCTTTCTCGTCACTTTTGCCTACCCCTAGATAAACTTCTCCTCACGATATTCCATGGCGTCACTTCTAGTATCCTAGCCTACCTAGCCTCCTAAGTTTAAGAGGCTCGTGTCCTAAGTTTCTAAGACCGACCTACATCCTGTTAGTATTCTTCTGCAGTGCAATGTGACTTGGTGCAACGTTTCCAACGTTTTTGAATTTACCCTGAGATGACAGTATAAACTGGGGAACCACCCTGAGGAATCAGTATGAACATAGGCAACCAACCCTGAGTGCTACACGGTTTTATGCAGGCCTGCCCTGATTGGTCAGGATGCCCAAAATCCTATCTGAGGCCCTGGACACGAGACTCCGGAAATGTCTTAAGTTCGTTTACCATCTTTCCGGGATGGCAGATGCACTGCCTCCAGCCGGCCCTCCATCCATCCCAGACATGCTTCACCTCCCACCATCCGGCCCAACACTTCATGCTTCTCTTCATGCTAGTACGGTACTGCTGCTGGCATGCTGACACGCACATGCCAATTTGCCAACTCATCCTTCACTGCAACTAAGTCTGTTCCTATGACTACAAACTGCGAGCAGGGCACAACCACACTTCCACAACCCTACCACCACCCTATCACCCCGGGGGTCAGCACGTCTGGTTGAACTGCGTCTGCCACTGCTGCAGCAGTGTCTCCCACACGTCTCGCTCCACCAGTGGCCGCTCCTTTCCCTCCACACGCTGCTGCTGTGCGCGCTGCACGCTGCCCTGCACCGACTGCAGGAACGCCCTCTGCTCGTCCACTGGCAGCGTGCGCACGTGCTGGAGCACAGTCAGTTGCTGGGGGGGGGGGGAAGGGAGTAGAGGGAGGTTGGGGGGATAGAGGGCGGTTGAGGGGGTAGAGGGCGGTTGGGGGGATAGAGGGCGGTTGAGGGGGTAGAGGGGGGTTGGGGGGGCTCGGGGTGGAAGGGTGCTCGTCCACAGGCAGCGTGTGCACGTGCTGCAGCACGGTCAGTTGTGAAAGTGGAGGAGACGAGGGGATGAGGTGTGTGTTGGTGTGTGGGCTGTAGGGGGGAAGGGGGCATGTTGGAGGCGCCTAAGAGCAATGCACGTGCTGCTGCTGTGCGAGCTGAGCGCTGGGAGGGAGGTGACATGGTAGGGGTGTGTGTGGGGGGGGGGGGGGGGGAGAAAAAAGGGGAGGAGAAAGAGGGTGTGTGTGAGTGTGTGCAAGCATGAGTGTGTGCAAGCATGACCAAGGGGAGTGAGTATGAGCAAGAGCAAGATCAAGTGCAAGAGAAAGAGGATAATAACAGGCATGAGCCACAGCACAGGCGGGCATGCACTGACATGTTGCTGCATGAGCTGCATCTGCATCTTCTTCTGTGCCAGGGCCAGCGGTGTCAACTCCGCCTCGTCACATGCCGCCTCCTCCCTGCGAGCCCCATGGGACGAAAAACGAATACCATGGCACACCACACCACAACACACCCACCGTCACCAGCAGCACCATTACCACCAGCACCACAGCAGCAGCAGCATCAGGAGAGTCGTAAGCCACCAGACAGCTTAAAAAAAAACCCAAGCAAGCTTCTAGAATGGAGAACTCTGGTCTTCAGAAAGTAATCAGGGCGCTGCTACATGGTTTCATAGAGCCCCCCCCCCCCTCTCTTCCCCTTCTCCCCCCTTTCCCCTCCCCCCCTCTCTTCCCCTTCTCCCCCCCTTCCATTCCCCTCCCGCTCTTCCCCCCCTCTCACTTCCCTCCCCCCCCCCCGCCCCTCTTCTCCTTCCCCCCCCACCCTCCAACCCCCCAGCCCCCCACACGCCCACCCACCTGGCGTGCATGTGGCAGATCTTCAAGACCACGTCCCTGTCCTCTCTATAGTCTAATGGCACCGCCAGCAAACACGCCATGCCAAACTGCGGCTCTGAAAACGAGGAGGTAAATATTCAGGGAGAAAAGGGACAGGGGGGGAGGAGTGGGAGTGAAGGGTGAGAGTGAGTGAAGGTTAGAGGGAACGGTAGGAAAATCAAAGCGCAGGGATGAGGCACGAGGGTAAGAGTGAAGGGCAGGAGTGAAGGGCATCCATGCCCATGCCCATGCCCATGCCCATGCCCATGCCCATGCCCGTGCCCGTGCCCATGCCCATGCCCATGCCCATCCCGCAGCTCGCACCTATCCCCATGTCCAGCAGAACTTGCTCCTTCAACAGCCGAGTCACCGACCATGCGGTCTGGAGTGGGGGAGGGGGGGAGAAGAGGGGAAGGAGGGGGAAGAGGGGAAGCGGGGGGGAGTGGAAGGGGGGGGAAGAAGGGGGAAGGAACGAGAAGGGGAATGGAGATGGGTGAGGAGGAAAGAGGGCGAGTCACAGGAGATTCCCGCTGCAGGCAGAGGAGGGATGGGTTGGACGGAATACGAGAAGGGTGAGACGGAAATGAATGGAGTTACTGCGCATGCAGTCCCAGGGGGGATGGGGCTGGGGCAGGGGGAGGGGGAGGAAGGGTTGGAAGGGAGAGGAGGGGGTGGAGGTGAGAAGGGGTGCACGGATGTACGTGCATGCGTGAGTGACAGTGCAAGTGTGGGAGAATGTATGTGTCCGTGTGTGCGTGTGAGTGTGTGAGTGTGTGTGTGTGTGTGTGTGCGTGAGAGAGAGAGAGAGAGAGAGAGAGAGAGAGAGAGAGAGAGAGAGAGAGAGAGAGAGAGAGAGAGAGAGAGAGAGAGCTGTGCACGTGTGTGCGAGCAAGTGCAGAACATCATACGACTCACCTTCCCCTGCTGCACGCTGCTCTTGATCTGAGACCGTGCCTCTGCCATAGCATGCCATGCCATGCAAAGGAGGACCATCACCGGCCAAAGGAAAGGGAAAGGATAAGTTAGTGAAGAGCCTTTGGAAGATCAAGAAACGCAGGTCGCACTCTCACTCCGATCGATGACCTGCCATGACCTCTCTGCCAGGGAGAGGGGGGTGCAGGTGGGTGGGGGGAGGGTTGACAGCCTTACAGCGGAGCAGTTTGGTGTGAAGGCGTGGAAGAACGCCAGAGCCGTGAGGGCGCAAAGGAGGGGGAGGGGGGAAGGAGACGGGAGGGAGGGAAAGACTACCTTGGAGTCGATCAGTGCGGCGGTGATGAGTGGAAGAACACCATGAGCCGCCAGGGGGCAGGCGGGGAGAGAGGCGAGGGGGGGTGGGGGGTAGGGGCAAGGGGACGGGGCCAGGGAGAGTTCACCTTTGGAGCCGATCAGCGCGGTGAAGGCGTGGAAGAACGCCATGAGCTGCTCTCGCGTCCAGCCGAAGCAATGTAAAAACCGCATGTAATGAGTCTGCTTTTGAGTCGACTCAGCACCTATGGGTTTCACTTTGGGCGCGTGCAAGGAGGGCACTCTTCTTGAGGCGCTTCAAAATGAGGCGCCTCAAAAAGTAGACTCCCTTGGGCGCGTGCAAAAAGGGCACTCTTCTTGAGGCGCTTCAAAATGAGGCGCCTCAAAAAGTAGACTCCCTTGGGCGCGTGCAAGGAGGGCACTCTTCTTGAGGCGCTTCAAAATGAGGCGCCTCAAAAAGTAGACTCCCTTGGGCGCGTGCAAGGAGGGCACTCTTCTTGAGGCGCTTCAAAATGAGGCGCCTCAAAAAGTAGACTCCCTTGGGCGCGTGCAAGGAGGGCACTCTTCTTGAGGCGCTTCAAAATGAGGCGCCTCAAAAAGTAGACTCCCTTGGGCGCGTGCAAAAAGGGCACTCTTCTTGAGGCGCTTCAAAATGAGGCGCCTCAAAAAGTAGACTCCCTTGGGCGCGTGCAAGGAGGGCACTCTTCTTGAGGCGCTTCAAAATGAGGCGCCTCAAAAAGTAGACTCCCTTGGGCGCGTGCAAAAAGGGCACTCTTCTTGAGGCGCTTCAAAATGAGGCGCCTCAAAAAGTAGACTCCCTTGGGCGCGTGCAAGGAGGGCACTCTTCTTGAGGCGCTTCAAAATGAGGCGCCTCAAAAAGTAGACTCCCTTGGGCGCGTGCAAGGAGGGCACTCTTCTTGAGGCGCTTCAAAATGAGGCGCCTCAAAAAGTAGACTCCCTTGGGCGCGTGCAAGGAGGGCACTCTTCTTGAGGCGCTTCAAAATGAGGCGCCTCAAAAAGTAGACTCCCTTGGGCGCGTGCAAAAAGGGCACTCTTCTTGAGGCGCTTCAAAATGAGGCGCCTCAAAAAGTAGACTCCCTTGGGCGCGTGCAAGGAGGGCACTCTTCTTGAGGCGCTTCAAAATGAGGCGCCTCAAAAAGTAGACTCCCTTGGGCGCGTGCAAGGAGGGCACTCTTCTTGAGGCGCTTCAAAATGAGGCGCCTCAAAAAGTAGACTCCCTTGGGCGCGTGCAAGGAGGGAACTCTTCTTGAGGCGCTTCAAAATGAGGCGCCTCAAAAAGTAGACTCCCTTGGGCGCGTGCAAGGAGGGCACTCTTCTTGAGGCGCTTCAAAATGAGGCGCCTCAAAAAGTAGACTCCCTTGGGCGCGTGCAAAAAGGGCACTCTTCTTGAGGCGCTTCAAAATGAGGCGCCTCAAAAAGTAGACTCCCTTGGGCGCGTGCAAGGAGGGCACTCTTCTTGAGGCGCTTCAAAATGAGGCGCCTCAAAAAGTAGACTCCCTTGGGCGCGTGCAAGGAGGGCACTCTTCTTGAGGCGCTTCAAAATGAGGCGCCTCAAAAAGTAGACTCCCTTGGGCGCGTGCAAGGAGGGCACTCTTCTTGAGGCGCTTCAAAATGAGGCGCCTCAAAAAGTAGACTCCCTTGGGCGCGTGCAAAAAGGGCACTCTTCTTGAGGCGCTTCAAAATGAGGCGCCTCAAAAAGTAGACTCCCTTGGGCGCGTGCAAGGAGGGCACTCTTCTTGAGGCGCTTCAAAATGAGGCGCCTCAAAAAGTAGACTCCCTTGGGCGCGTGCAAGGAGGGCACTCTTCTTGAGGCGCTTCAAAATGAGGCGCCTCAAAAAGTAGACTCCCTTGGGCGCGTGCAAGGAGGGCACTCTTCTTGAGGCGCTTCAAAATGAGGCGCCTCAAAAAGTAGACTCCCTTGGGCGCGTGCAAAAAGGGCACTCTTCTTAAGGCGCTTCAAAATGAGGCGCCTCAAAAAGTAGACTCCCTTGGGCGCGTGCAAGGAGGGCACTCTTCTTGAGGCGCTTCAAAATGAGGCGCCTCAAAAAGTAGACTCCCTTGGGCGCGTGCAAAAAGGGCACTCTTCTTGAGGCGCTTCAAAATGAGGCGCCTCAAAAAGTAGACTCCCTTGGGCGCGTGCAAGGAGGGCACTCTTCTTGAGGCGCTTCAAAATGAGGCGCCTCAAAAAGTAGACTCCCTTGGGCGCGTGCAAGGAGGGCACTCTTCTTGAGGCGCTTCAAAATGAGGCGCCTCAAAAAGTAGACTCCCTTGGGCGCGTGCAAGGAGGGCACTCTTCTTGAGGCGCTTCAAAATGAGGCGCCTCAAAAAGTAGACTCCCTTGGGCGCGTGCAAAAAGGGCACTCTTCTTGAGGCGCTTCAAAATGAGGCGCCTCAAAAAGTAGACTCCCTTGGGCGCGTGCAAGGAGGGCACTCTTCTTGAGGCGCTTCAAAATGAGGCGCCTCAAAAAGTAGACTCCCTTGGGCGCGTGCAAGGAGGGCACTCTTCTTGAGGCGCTTCAAAATGAGGCGCCTCAAAAAGTAGACTCCCTTGGGCGCGTGCAAGGAGGGCACTCTTCTTGAGGCGCTTCAAAATGAGGCGCCTCAAAAAGTAGACTCCCTTGGGCGCGTGCAAAAAGGGCACTCTTCTTAAGGCGCTTCAAAATGAGGCGCCTCAAAAAGTAGACTCCCTTGGGCGCGTGCAAGGAGGGCACTCTTCTTGAGGCGCTTCAAAATGAGGCGCCTCAAAAAGTAGACTCCCTTGGGCGCGTGCAAAAAGGGCACTCTTCTTGAGGCGCTTCAAAATGAGGCGCCTCAAAAAGTAGACTCCCTTGGGCGCGTGCAAGGAGGGCACTCTTCTTGAGGCGCTTCAAAATGAGGCGCCTCAAAAAGTAGACTCCCTTGGGCGCGTGCAAGGAGGGCACTCTTCTTGAGGCGCTTCAAAATGAGGCGCCTCAAAAAGTAGACTCCCTTGGGCGCGTGCAAGGAGGGCACTCTTCTTGAGGCGCTTCAAAATGAGGCGCCTCAAAAAGTAGACTCCCTTGGGCGCGTGCAAAAAGGGCACTCTTCTTGAGGCGCTTCAAAATGAGGCGCCTCAAAAAGTAGACTCCCTTGGGCGCGTGCAAGGAGGGCACTCTTCTTGAGGCGCTTCAAAATGAGGCGCCTCAAAAAGTAGACTCCCTTGGGCGCGTGCAAGGAGGGCACTCTTCTTGAGGCGCTTCAAAATGAGGCGCCTCAAAAAGTAGACTCCCTTGGGCGCGTGCAAAAAGGGCACTCTTCTTGAGGCGCTTCAAAATGAGGCGCCTCAAAAAGTAGACTCCCTTGGGCGCGTGCAAAAAGGGCACTCTTCTTGAGGCGCTTCAAAATGAGGCGCCTCAAAAAGTAGACTCCCTTGGGCGCGTGCAAGGAGGGCACTCTTCTTGAGGCGCTTCAAAATGAGGCGCCTCAAAAAGTAGACTCCCTTGGGCGCGTGCAAGGAGGGCACTCTTCTTGAGGCGCTTCAAAATGAGGCGCCTCAAAAAGTAGACTCCCTTGGGCGCGTGCAAGGAGGGCACTCTTCTTGAGGCGCTTCAAAATGAGGCGCCTCAAAAAGTAGACTCCCTTGGGCGCGTGCAAAAAGGGCACTCTTCTTAAGGCGCTTCAAAATGAGGCGCCTCAAAAAGTAGACTCCCTTGGGCGCGTGCAAGGAGGGCACTCTTCTTGAGGCGCTTCAAAATGAGGCGCCTCAAAAAGTAGACTCCCTTGGGCGCGTGCAAGGAGGGCACTCTTCTTGAGGCGCTTCAAAATGAGGCGCCTCAAAAAGTAGACTCCCTTGGGCGCGTGCAAGGAGGGCACTCTTCTTGAGGCGCTTCAAAATGAGGCGCCTCAAAAAGTAGACTCCCTTGGGCGCGTGCAAGGAGGGCACTCTTCTTGAGGCGCTTCAAAATGAGGCGCCTCAAAAAGTAGACTCCCTTGGGCGCGTGCAAGGAGGGCACTCTTCTTGAGGCGCTTCAAAATGAGGCGCCTCAAAAAGTAGACTCCCTTGGGCGCGTGCAAGGAGGGCACTCTTCTTGAGGCGCTTCAAAATGAGGCGCCTCAAAAAGTAGACTCCCTTGGGCGCGTGCAAGGAGGGCACTCTTCTTGAGGCGCTTCAAAATGAGGCGCCTCAAAAAGTAGACTCCCTTGGGCGCGTGCAAGGAGGGCACTCTTCTTGAGGCGCTTCAAAATGAGGCGCCTCAAAAAGTAGACTCCCTTGGGCGCGTGCAAGGAGGGCACAGCGCCATGAAGGAGGGGACGCCGGGGGGGAAAGGGAAGGAAGCAGGGGGCGACGGGTGGGACGGAGGGAAAGAGTACCTTTGGAGTCGATCAGCGCGGTGAAGGCGTGGAAGAACGCCATGAGCTGCTCTCGCGACAACATGCCCGCCCGCTGCAGCCCCGCGAACGACGATCCTCCTCTCCCTCCCCCTCCTCCTCCTGCCCATGCCCCCGTGACTCCCCCTAGAACTGATGCTCCCCCCGAAGCTCCCCCAGATGCTCCTCCCCCTCCAAAGTCCGCCCTTCCCCTTGCCGATGCGTCATCCCTCCCTGCCCCTGCTCCCGTCCCTCCTGCTCCCCATCCTCCCCCTACCCCACCGCCCGCGGCCCCCGTTGCCCCCCCATACCCATCCCCATCAGCAGCGGCATCGGCGGCATCGGCGGCGCCAGAGGAGGAGGAGGGAGAGCCAGGGGAGCCGGAGAAGCCGAGACGATTTAGGAGCGACTCCGGATCGCCATCGTTAGAGCCGCCGAATCCGGGCGAGAGTCCGGAAGGGAAGCCGTCAGAGCCCGGCGTAGTAGAGACTGCAGGAGCGGCAGTTGCGTCGAGAGCGAACGCCAAGGCTGCGGAATCGAAGGAACCGGAGGGTGATACCGACGCAGGGCTGGTTAGATCGGCTGCTTGTAGCGATGCCATTTCTATCGCGGATTGAAAGAGAAGCAGACTTTATTGCGACATGGGAGGAGGGAAGAATGAGAAAATAAGTGGCTCTCTTTGGCGGAGGTGTCGCAGACTTGTGAATGAGTCGCAGGCTGATGCGTCGCAGACTAGTGAATGAGTCGCAGGCTGAAGCGTCGGAGCTAGAAAATCGGCGAGCTATCGAGTCGCCAGCCCTGAAGATGCCGGCGACGAGACGCAGCTAACGAACATGCCGTCACGGACATGCCTGACTCGAACTCCACACGGACTAAAGTCTCTTGAGCATATCAAACCTGTTGAGCTCTAGAGTCTAGACTACAGTTAGAGACAACAGCGGAACGAGCAATGAGAGTCGCGCATCGCATGTAATCGGGCTGGCCAGATGACGAGCGGTCAAACAAATCGTGCATGCCTGGTGCTGGCTCGTGCATACAGATGAACGGAACTGACGAGACGAGCCGATTGGAATACAAACAGAGCAGGAGAACAGGAAGGGATTGAGGTGAGGTGAAGCGAGGTGGGGCGAGTTGGGGAAAGTTGGAGTAAGGTACAGTGAGGGTGGGGTGATCTGTAACGAACATATTGACGAGGGTCCTCGTTTCCCGCCTTTTCCTGGCTGTCCGGTGACAACCTCGTTATTGTCACACAGATACCTCCATGAGATGCGAACCCATTCACAGTCTCGAAACAATCACGGCTACACCTTAAGAAGACAACAACCTCAACTTCTAGCAAGAAGAAAATGTTGGTACTATCAAACATATCCTTGTATGTTGTGCCTTAGAGAGTACAACCCACTAGGTTATATTCCCTTGTATACCATGGTTCTAGTCATTCGTTAACTTTGATATGGTATCATGAGTAGGTTAGGTCCCCCCCCGCCCACCAACGCTTCCGCCATAGGTCCTAGCTGCCCCATCGCCCTCCAGCCCGTGCTGGCCCGTCCCCTAGTGGCCCCTATCACCTAGCGCCTAGCCGGCCCCGTCGCCCAGCCGGCCCCATCGCCTAGCCGGCCCCGTAACCCAGCCGGCCCCGTCGCCTAGCCGGCCCCGTAACCCAGCCAGCCCCGTCGCCTAGCCGGCCCCGTCGCCTACACGGCCCCGTCGCCTAGCCGGCCCCGTCGCCCTGCCAGCCCTGTTGCCTAGTTGGCCCCGTCGCCCAGCCAGCCCCGTCGCCTAGCCGGCCCCGTCGCCTAGCTGGCCCTGTCGCCTCGACGGCCTTGTCGCCAAGCCGGCCCCGTCGCTCAGCCGGCCCCGTAGCCTAGCCAGCCCCGTTGCCTAGTCGGCCCTGTCACCTAGCCGCCTAGCTGGCCCCGTCGCCACGCCGCACGCGGCCCCGTCTCCCAGCCGCCAAGCGGCCTCGTCTTCCAGCCGCCACGCGGCCCCTGTTGACCAGCCATCCCGCGGCCTCACCGCCTAGCCTCCTCGCGGCCCCGTCTCTCAGCTGCCCCCTTCGGCTCCCAACTAGCTTCATCGGCCCTTTCCACCGCACTCCACCGCCTCCACCGCACTGTGCTGCACTGCACCGAATTGCACCGCACCCCACCGCCATGCACCGCACTGTACCCTACCGTACTGCACCTCACTCTACCGCAGTCTACCGCACTGCACCGCACCGCACACCACTGCTTCCCGCCGCACTCTGTCGCTCAATACAACCCAGTACCGCCTTTCTGCTGCTCCAGCGACCATGATGGCGGAATCGGTGCTGCGCTTTCACGCGGAGGGTCATCTGGTTGAGTTCGATACGTGGCTCGTCGACCTTCGCCGTCACCTCACCGGTCAGCGACAGGACGGCCACTCCCTGGCTGTCCACATCGACGGGACGCTTCCCTGCCCTGACCCCATTGCTGCTCTATCCGCTGACCCTACGTCTGCTGACTGTGAGTCCGCTGCCGCGACTGCCCTTGCCCGTGCTGAATGGTTGTTGCATGACGCTGTCGCACAGCTCGCGATTAGTCATACCCTCCCCTTGTCTGAGCGCCCCCACTTTAGGTCGGTCAGGACTGCGCAGGAGTTCTTAGAGGCTGTTGTCGCCCGTTATTCCACCGCGACCTCTGCCTCCGTCAGTCGCTTGATCCCGCCCATGCTCTTTCCTGATCTCGCGTCGTTCTCCACTGTCGCTGACCTGACCGCATGCTAGACGCAACCTGGCGCGCTGCCTGCACTGAGGCCCAGCTTCGTGTGTTTCAGCCCCCCATCTGCTCTACCCTCTACCTGCTTGCCACCCGCCTCCCTGACCGCCTTGCTACCGTCCGCGATCACTTTCTTAGTCTCCACCCCGCTGACCTCACCCTCATTGACTTTGTCGACACCCGGTTTGCCATAGAGACTCGCCAGCGCTCTATCGTCCAGTCTAGCGGTACAGTGCCGGTCACTGTCTTTCAGGGCTGTGCCCCCGCCCAGTGCACTTACTCTGACGGTTCTGCTGCTGTCGCTGAGACATCCCCTGCTGCGGAGACAGTCGCCGCGGCTGCCGAAGTGCAGTTTCGTCCGGGTAAGGGTCGCCACCTCAAGGCTGGGCGCGGCGGAGGTAGCGGAGGAGGGGTTCGAGGTGGTGGTGGAGGTGGTTTGCCCGCTTGTATTACTGACGAGGGGGCTGGGGTTGGTTCCTCGGAGCAGCAGCCCCAGCAGCAGCAGCAGCAGCAGGCACCGTAGCTGGACCAGCAGCAGCAGCACCAGCAGCGGCCGGTCGGCCGTCTCCCGCCTGTGTGGCCTGGCGCAGGTGGTGAAGGTGGTCGCAGAGCTCGTGCGCGCTGTGTGACGTCGGGTGGTTGTCCGAGTGATAAGCGCTACCAATACCTGCTCCAGACCAGTCCTCGCCGCGGCCTCGTGTGCGGTAAGCTCGGCCATACCCCCACTCGTTGTTTTAGTCGCCTAGACGACCTACAGTGACGGAAACAATTGTCAGGATGTTTTGTATTAATTAGGGTTTTTGGGCTTTCCGACCACTGTACATAAAGTCTTAATGTTTAATGGTGGTACACTTTGGGAGGGGCACAAAATGGATGTGTTCACAATGCTAAAATCCATAACAGTACACTGGATCTAACTTAGTGCCAAAAGATATACAAAGAGTACATCCAAACAATTATTTTCCACCTCAAAGAGCAAACTTTCGCGCAGCATTTCTAGTACCTAGTCCACCAACACTTGGCCTTGATCTCCACCTGCACCCTCCTAGGCATGTTATCTACAAGGTTAGTGCAAAACTTTACAGAGATCTTCTTGCACTCTTCGTGGACCCACGCTTTTGCATAAGGGGGTGAGTACTAGGAAAATTGCAAAGGATTTGAGCGTTACAAGAGTATTGTGCACGATTTTGTATTGAATGTTATCTCTGAGACTAACCATGCTGAGGTGTGGCAAGATATACCAGAAGTCGATTGGTCCCATCTTATCATGGATCGCCTTCGTCGTACCGTTGTAGGGTAAAATTACCAGCAGAGTGGCGAAAACTAGCGTATCCGCCGCGAAACTTAGGGTAACATAGCACGGTCGACTGTGCACCCTTGCACAATCGACTTCTGACATCTTTGGCCACACCTCAGCATGGCTAGTCTTCTAGATAACATTCAATCCGAAGTCGTGCACAATACTCTTGCATACGCTCAAATCCTTCGTGATTTTTTTAGTGCTCATCCCTTTATACAAAACCGTGGGTCCAGGAAGAGTGCGAAAAGGACTTATCCGACCATCCACTTCACCATATGGTGCCCCAGTACTCTTCACACCAAAATCGGACGGAAGCCTGCGCATGTGCATCGACTACCGAGCTCTCAAGAAGCAGACCATAAAAAACAAATACCTGATTCCACGAATCGATGACCTGCTTGACCAGCTTCGAGGAGCCACGGTATTTTTCAAACTAGATTTGCAGTCCGGATACTGGCAGATACGAATGGCGGACGAATCTGTTCACAAAACGGCTTTCCGAACTCGGTACGGATCGTACGAGTATCTGGTAATGCCGTTCGGACTCACCAACGCACCTACAACGTTCCAAGCAAAGATGAATCACATCCTACGCCCACTCTTGGATGAGCGCGTGGTGGTGTACTTGGACGACATCCTCGTCTACTCATGCGACATGCAACCACACGCCGAACACCTGCGACGCGTCTTCGAGATTCTTCGACGAGAACGCTTCTACGTCAAACTATCCAAGAGCGACTTCGCCCTCGAGAAAGTTCAATTCCTCAGACATATCGGAAGCACTGAAGGAGTTCACGTCGACCCCAAGAAAATCGAAGCCGTGCATACGTGGAAAACACCCGAGAACGTGAAAGAGTTACAGCAGTTCCTAGGCTTCGCTAACTACAACAGGTTCGTGCCACAATACGCGAAGATCGTCGCGCCACTCACGAATCTGCTAAAGAAGAACACGCCCTATACCTAGGGACCAAGACATCAAGAAGCCCTGGAACAGCTGAAACAAGCTCTCACGTCCGCACCCGTACTCATCTTGCCAGACCCCAAACGCGACTACGTCATCGAAGCTGACGCCAGCGACCAGGCAGTGGGAGCGGTCTTGATGCAAGACCAGGGGAATGGTCTGCAACCAATTGCCTACCTCAGCAAAAAAATACACGGGGCAGAACTCAACTACCCGATACACGACAAGGAGGCCCTTGCTATCATCATCACCTTCAAAACGTGGAGATGTTATCTCGAAGGACGTAAAACAACAGTCTACACCGACCATTGCAGCCTAAAATATTTGAAGACGCAACCAAGCCTCTCCAAGCGACAGGTTCGGTGGATCGACTTCCTCGAGACGCACTTCCACTATGACATCGTGTACAAGCCTGGCCATAAAAACAAAGCAGATGCGCTTAGCCGGCCTGCACACGTTGCCGCTATCCAAATTGAAGGGATGAATCCACTCCTCAAGGGACTCTTCACACACGGGTACACCATCGACCCCGAAAATCCTTTGGCAGAATAGCGACATCTGCTACAGTGGGACACCGACATCGCGTACCGAAAAGGATCAACAAAGATCTGGGTACCAAATTACCCTCCTTTGCGCCAGTTACTACTTGAAGAATACCACGACGTCCTGTACGCAGAACACTTCGATAGCAACAAGACGCTCACCAGTATCGCCAAACACTACTACTGGCCCCACATGGCAGATGACCTACAGAACTTTGTCACCTCGTGCACTACATGTCATCGGATGAAGAGCAGCAAGCAGAAAAATGCGGGTCTGCTACAGCCTCTTCCTGTCCTAGAACAGCCATGGCAAGTGGTCAGCCTAGACTTCATCACCGGGCTACCAACTGCCTCAAGCGGTCATGACGCGATCCTCGTCGTCATTGACAAGTTCTCCAAAATGGGGACACTTCATCCCGACACACACCAAAGCACGCACCGAGGAGACAGCAAAACTCTTTGTTTGCTACATCATTTCACA